TTAAATGATGTAATTTATGAGTTAATTTTTAAAAATAATTAATATTGTTACTTAAAAATATGAAAGAAGAAACTTAAGACAGAAACATAACAGGCAGGCAAAGATCTTTACAATTATATACTCTGCAAGACCACACTCAAACCAGTCTTTTAACACAGTTCAATTTGGGTCTTTAAAAACATGTATAGAATATTAAGATTTGAGGTTCCATATTAAAATGTCAACCTTATTAAGAGAGGTAATCCAAACCTTTATAAATTGATTTTCGATATGAGATTCGATCCCTTAACTTATCCCCACAAGATGGTGACTCGTTTGAACAGATTAATCTTGAAATTCATGTGCTCAATTTTTTTTTTTTTAGTCTTAATCGGATCGAATTGCTCTTTGGAGCATAATTGGCTCTGATACCATGTTAAAATTTTGAGTTCCATCTTAAAATGTCAACTTTATTAAGAGGAGTAATCCAAACCTTTATAAATTGATCTATATTTTCATCTTTATTCGTTGTGAGATTCTATCTCTTAACATAGAACAGTTGAAAACATCATGAGGCCCTTAATAAATGATAGATTATGAGGGGACAAAGTGATTATAAATTGGTAGACGTTCAAGGTACAAAATGACTTGAGTTAATGGACAAGGAAAGGGATTTTTCATTGGTACTAAATTGGTTGACAGTTCAATAAGGAAAGGGATTTTTGCTAATTAAAGAGATATGTTGCGCAATTTTAACGTGTCTATTTTGCTTGACAATGTACAAAATGACATTAAAAATCAATATTAGAGAGTTGATAAATTCGATCTGTCACCGAATTTGAGCTTTAATTCACTCATTTTTTATTTATTCCGAACCCTCACTTTTATTTATTTATTTTAGCTTCTGATTTCGTTATTTTGTTCTGTTTATTAATCTTAATGAAAATTAGCAACGAATATATTAAAAAAAAAAAAATCGACTTGAGACAAATGAAAAGTATTAGATTTCACCCCTAAGAAAGAATAGGCTAATAATCTCCCTGCCACTAGGGGTGACGAGAGTGTGTCACTTACTGGCAGATTTAGCAGGGGGCTGGGTTGGGCTGTAGCCCCCAGCCCTACCCCAACCCACATGGTAAAAGAAAGAGAAATTTTATAGTTAAATTGGCCCAAATAT